CTCAGGGGCAACTCTGAAAGCTTGGCCCTTGCTGAGGAGGTTTTGTAGACTCCAGACTGGGGAATAAGAAGGAGTTGTCTCACTCATGGGGGACGTGATGAAGGAGTGTGGACAACGCTCCTGCTGCTCCACAAATTGTTCCCATGGTCGTCGCTCAGTTGGGCTGTTCAAGCATCTTTATCATTCAAGACAAGGACTGACCCCAAGCTGAACAAACACACTCATTCACTTCATTCAGGTTGATAACATTGCTTATCAGTTAGCAATTGCTACAGTAACACAGTGTAATAAGCCATTCCTGAGTTCATTGGCTCCACTGGGGCAGCTCTGTTTCATGTGTCTTTCATCTTCCTAGACCCATCTGGGTACCTGAGGCATGTCCTTTCAAAGTTGTAACAGACATGGGTGGTCAAGTTCAACCACACACGTGGTTTCCGGCTCTGCATCTCACCTGCTGTTGTTCTCTCTTTACCTGAGCCACCTGTTGAAGTCTCCTTACTGTTCTTTTCCCACCAGTCATCTGAGCCGCAAATCTCTTCTTAGGATTCTGCAGTTCATCTGCCATTGAGTGCCCGCCCCAACTCTGAATTTGCATCCAGTCTGTCTCCTTTCTGCTAAGAACTCACAAACCCTGTAAATCCATATGACCTGCTGGCTTAGTGCATTCATTATATCATAGTGTCTTTTCCTGTTGTTGTAATAAAATACCAGACAAAGCATCCTAAGGTTTATTTGACTCACCCATGCCAGATCACAGTCCATCCTAGCCAGAGAGTCAAGATGGCAGGAACTGAGAGCAGGTAGTCACGTTACGCACACCTACAGTAAAGAGCCGAGAAGAGCCAGTGTGCGCCTGTGCATATTTCCCGATCACTGCAGTCTTAATGTGCTTAGGGATTCCCTGTGTAGGAAATGATGCCACCCACAGCATGCAGTTCTTCTCCTCTCAAAGTAATCAAGCTATTACCCCAGCGCCCACAGGCTAACCTGACCTAGACGGTCCATGATTGATGCTTTTGGATAGTGTCAAGTGTACAGAGCTAGCCGCCATAATGTCTCTACTCAGAACAGGGAGCCCTCATTTAAACACCCCTTTTGTAAACAGCCACCTCCTATGTTGGTATCCTGTGTTGGCTTTGCAGATCTCCTCTGAACCCAGTGATGGCACACCCATTGGCAGCAAGGACCCATGCATCTGTTCCCACCGTCCCTTTGATTTGCCTACGAGCGGTTACACATGGCTTAAATAAAAGGCAGACCGTCTTGGGCTTCACTCTCTCTTTTTCTCTCTCTTTTCTCCCTTAGTCTCCATCTCTACTGCCCCCCCCCCCCCAATAACTCTCTCTCACGTAGAACTGCATTGGCCTGGTGTGGTCTGTCCAGACGAGAGCCCCGATTCCAACGCAACATCCCCGGCCTCCACCTTTGCTGCCTCACCCCGTTTACATTTCTGTTTGTCAGTTCTGACATTCTGTTACTGAACCTCACCCCTCACTGCCCCTGTAAGCTCTAAGGTTTCAGGGACTGTATCTTGTTCACCAGCTCTCCAGAGCACGGCTAGCCTGTAATGGCCAGATTCAATAGATGTCAGAATGAAGGAGGGAGTGGGGACAGGTCCTGTGGGGTGAGCATGGTGTTTCCGCTTGCCCTTCTGAGGTCCGTCTTTCATTTCTAGGCCTCACTCGGGAAGGTTAGTTTTTATTGTGTTGTACCTCTGTTTTGTTTTTTGTTTTTTTTTTCTAAAACCCACAGTCTAGTTCTGCCTTCAGGAGACACATAGAAGAAAGACAAAGGAAATCATTTTTTCTGTATTATCTGTTTACTCGTGTTGCTCCTTTTATTAATCTTGCAAGAGAACTGAAAATAAAATTTTAATTATACTTAATCCTACCACTCATGACCACTTTTGATTTTTTTCCCTTAATTTCCTCATTTCCAATAACTTTCTCATGTATTAATCTAAACGGTTTTCATTTAGGAAAAAAAAAAAAGCAAAATGCAACTTGGGACTAGAGCGAGGGCCCAGCAGTTAGGAGCAGTTACTGCTCTACCCTGAGACCTGTGTCCTTACCTCGAGAGTCTGTGACTCTCACCACCCAGGTCAGGTGACTCCCAATGCCCATAACTCAGGCCCCAAATCTTCTGTGGTCATTCACACACATATGCATACACACAGACACACAGATAATTTTTAAATTTTACAATTGACCCAAATGACACTTTTGTGTCTGTATTTTTTTTTTCTCCATAATGTTGTTTCTTAAGTATTCTCTGATTAAATTCCCATGGTATTTTTTTTAGGGTGATGTAGAATTTGATCATTTACCTATTTTCTGTGATGACTATTTAGATTATGTAGGAGTGTGTGTGTGTGTGTGTGTGTGTGTGTGTGTGTGTGTGTATGCGTGTGTGTGTAGAGGGAGAGAGAGAGAGAGAGAGAGAGAGAGAGAGAGAGACTGTCTCTGGCTGTCTCTGTATGGGGGCAGTATTTGCAGGTGACTGACATCAGGTGTCTGCCTCCATCACTCTGCCATTTTTTTTGAACCAGTCTCTTACAGATCCTGTGTTGGTATAGGTCCAAACTCAGTGGTGTTGCATCGTTGCTGAGGCAACCAGGGAGACACTCCCACAATTCCACCTGGTTACAGGAACTATGTCATCCTCATCCATATAATAGGCAGAGCTTCCCCGACTTCTCTTTCCTCTCCGCCATCTTCTGTCTCCCTTTCTCTCTCACCCTCCATCTTTAATAAACCCCACTCCCGTGGAACCGGTCTCATTGGTTCTTACATTTTACATCCTAACCTTGCCATTCTGACAAGGCTGGCTGTCCAGCAAGACCCTCTTCCTCCCCACCAGGACCCACTGATACTTTTCAATGACTGCTTGAGAAGAACATTTTGTAATAAGATAAATCACAGTCATAATTTTCCTTGCTACAGAAAGGGAAGGGAGGAGCTGGAGAGATGGCTCAGTGGTTAAGAGCACACTGACTGCTCTTCCAAGGGTCCTGAGTTCAATTCCCAGCAACCACATGGTAGCTCACAACCATCTATAATGGAATCTGATGTCCTCTTCTGTGTGTCTGAAGACAGCTACAGTGTACTCACATACCTAAAATAAATAAATAACTCTAAAAAAAAAAAAAAAGAAAAGAAAAAAGAAAGGGAAGGGAGACAAACCAGAAAGCCTGTGGCTCCCTCTGACATTCATGGAAGTGCCTGTGTTTGCTAGAAGTCTCAAAGAAAAGGACTCAGAACTGTCAACACACAGCAGTCAGCAGCTTGATTTTCTCTACAAATAAAATCAAAAAGTCAGCAACGGGAGAAAGTTATTTATAGCAACAAAAATAAATAAAGGGTCGCACTTACTATTTACCGATAAATTTGTTCTCAATACCTAAAAACTAAAATCCCAATAGAAATGAGCAAGGAACCCAAACTGGATGTTAATTCTCCATGGCTGGTAAATGTTGAAAAATAGATCAGTTTCTTTTGTTTATCAAATTGGCAAATTTTGAAGAAAAAAAAAATGCTCGGTGCCTGTAGGGGTAGAAGGGTGGAGGAACTCTGACCATGTTTAGAGGAATTTTACCTGGATAGCACAGAGAGCAGTTTAACCAAGTCTGAAGTGCCTAACCCAGAAAGCCCATCATTTTGACACCCTCCCATCTTGCTTCTTTTAGTCTGTCATAACGATCAAAGTCCGTCTGTAAGCATTATTTATAAAAATAGTTTAAAAAACATACTAAACTGGGGTACTAGACAAAGTTTGATGGGCAAAGCTTTTGCTTTGCAAACATGGGGGCCTGAGTCCAGAATCCCAAAATGCCCATAAAAGCTGGGTGGTGTGTGCGTGTAAGCCCACAGGGTAGGTGGCTTCAGTAATAAGTAGGCATATAGTTCTCCCTGTTTCTTGAGGCTAGAAGCCCACGACCCAAGTGCTACCAAGTTCTGTTTCTGGTTGTTTCTCTCTTCCTGCATGGCTCTCCCTCTGTGCATATCCGGAGTAAGAGGAACAAGCACAGCACCCTGGAGCTTCTCGCCCCTCCAGAGACTGAGCTGGGGGTCAGGGCTTCAGCAGTTCAATGAGTCTGAGCAACGTTTGCACAACAGATTGGAGGGCAAAAAGGGTCATTGGTCCAGATCCTAGTTCCGCATATGAGATGACTGTCTGTAAAAGGGACCCTTGCCTGGAGTCAGGCCACCAGCATTTGCATTATTCTTCTTTCTCTTAGTCTAATCTAGATGAATCGAGGACAGACTGCACCACAGTCTAAAAGAAGGCAGAAGGCACACGTTCTGTGTGGCAGAGGCTCTGCCCTTGGTTCCTTTAGACCCCATCAGTAAGACACTCTCACATAACACTGGCCATCCCAAGTAGGCTTGTTGCGTGGTAGCATACACAGGACCCACTCTTTTGTCTGGCAGTGACCCGGGAACATTATCAGTGATAAATCATTTGGGAAGCCCTCTCCTGAGCCCTGGCTCTGGACAAGGCTGCTGAAAGCATCCTTGGTACAGCAATCACACCACACACCCAGAATTAGCACATCTAGAGCACAGCTGACAAGCTCAGATCTGGTGTCTTCAATTCATCCTGCGTTTTAAAAATGCTCTTTTACCTAAACACAGTTTTCCTCTAAAATCTGTGTAAGCGGCTGTGTTTGCCCTGGGTGAGTTCTTCCCAGTACATCCTGACACTGCAGCATGAACAGGAAGGTAAGCACGTGAATCTGATGGTGATTGCCGATGATGAAATTTGGGCTCGTAAAATCAAGGATATTATTCAAAAGTGTGAGGTAAATTAGTCTCATTCATTCTGATGGGGCTAGGCTCTGCGGCTGTGTATGCCGTCTTTAATTAACGCTCGGAAAAGATGTTCTGATTGGGGTTATTAATGAATGCGGTGAAGATTTTTACTGTCTGTAAGACTTCTGCCACAGACAGCTTACGTACCCCCCGCCCGACTGGGTTTTTTTGTTGTTTTTCTTTCCACAGATTCCTTCTATGGCCTGACAGATGGAGTATTCATCTTTGAAGCTGTTTCCACAGAAGATAGCAAAACCACACAGGGCTATGACGCTATTGTTGTGGAACAATGGACAGTCCTGGAAGTAAGTGTGAAGCTGCCCCTTTGCTTCTTTTGTCTGGGGAGAGATTGTTTCATGGCTTGCTCCAGCTGACTGCAAGACTGGTGCCCAGCTGTGCCTTTCTTCTGAAAAGGAGTTCACCTGGGTAAACCCCCTTGGGGAGACCCCCTTAATTCTTTTATACCCTACCTCCAAGGTGGGGAGGACTCCACTTTTCTCTTTCTGTAAGAAAAGCATGTCTTTTTGCATATGTCAGACCACTGGGTGGAAAGAGAGGTCACCTACTGTTAATTTGCATATCACTGTAAACACAGATGATACAGAGAGGCCTCTTCACAATACTGTCATAGTAAGAGCTATTCCAGGTTTTCAGAGGTAGGGTCTCTGGCCATCTCCTGCAAGCCATCCTTGGAAGAAACAGGATGCTCTCAGTTCTCAGTGAGCAAATGAGGTAAATACCGTTTTCACAGTTAGGTTTTGTGCCAAGTAACAAAGGATATATTTGAAGAGTGACAACCGTGAGCCACTCACTGGCTCTGGGTAGAAGAATCCATGTCCTGTATCTTTGGAATAGTCTTCTCTCTGAGATCTCATTGATTTTCTCCAGCCATGAAGTATGAATGTTTTAAGCCTATCTCAGCCACCACTAGACCAGTGTTTCTTGAGAGGGACTGTTTGTCTAAGGGATATCAGAGTTTATCAAGCACAGATATTTGAACTCCACCCTAGAAGTTTCCTTTCATCCAAATGCATTATAACAAAATGTCACAGATGGGATTTTGACCTTTCAGGTGAGTGGAAGGCTCAAGGTCAGGGTTCCATTCCTGCCGCTTCTCTTCAAGGCTCTCATCTGGCTTGGAGACAGTCACTCACTCTGGAGACAGTCACTCACTCTGAGTCTGATATAGGCAAAAGCCAGTGAGCTCTCTGGTGTCTCTTAGGACATTGATCCTAATGGGTCAGGAACCCACTCTTGTAACCGTATTTAACCATGGTTCCTTTTTAGAGGCCCCAGTTCTACACTGAGGGTAAATTTAGGTAGGGCACAAAATATTCAGTCTCTAACATGTCTGAGGCCAGGCCCAAGCATTTGCCTGTATACTACCCTGTTAGGTAAGTTGCCTCTGCTGGTTGAGAGATGAAACTCTGAGGGTTCCTACCCTTTGAGCTTGATACCAGCACAGTGAGCATCCCTGCTGGGGACAGGATTGCAGAAGGCTTCGCCTTCTGAAAAGGCTCCATTGGACACCTGCTCTGACCCATAGTCAGCCCCTCTCTGGGACATGTGGGTGAGCTTGAACCCATTCATGCCAGCTCGAGTCTAGCTACATCTTCCCTTACCACTGTTTGGCCAATAGAAAGCTTTTTTTCTCCTTAAGCCTGGACAGGTACCTGAAAGGTGATGAGTTTGGATTTCAAAGGGACACTGAGGCAGAGCATCCCTTTGGATAAGAAATTTATTAGAGTGGTTTAACACCATAGACATAGACGTGCCATAGGTGGGTTCTGAGGAGAGTTCAGGCCCATGCGAGAGAGTGGGGTCCCTTGTTACAGGTTTGAGAAGGTGAGGATCTCATGCTGTATGGCCGTAGTATCTATTTGCAGTCAGGGTGCCTCTGATCCCGGCAGGAGAAGGAAGGAGTATTGCATCACCAGGAAGAGGGGAAGGCATCTTGCTGGTGAGTGACTTAGAGAGTGGGGTGGAGAGACACATTTATTTAAGGGGTACCCATTAGATTCGTGATGGCAGTGGGTGTGCCACTAGTAGCCTTTAGATGTCTGGATAACTGGGGACTGTAAAGTTCCTTGGGGGAAATGAGGATTAAGGTGTCATCTGTCCTAGAATTCTGGCAGCATCTGAGATCTGTTAGGGGTTCCAGATCACACATAGGCTCTCTCTTCATTCCCTTCCTTACAGCCCTGAGGGAGACTGCTGCAGGAGGGTGTGGCCTGATCAGCTCCAAACAGAGCAGTTCCTCTTTCCTTCTGGTTGATGCTGTTTTTATTACAAGCACTGTCCTCCCAGGCTAGCCCCTAACCTCCTGGCTCTGGATATTACCAAAGTTGGGGGTTACAACCCATGCTCTAAGCCAGATTTGGTCATCTGTGCTCGATAAGCCAATTACAAGAGTCAGATCAATTATAAGAGTCAGATTAATAGTGTAATCCAGAAAAAAAAAACCAGGAAATTTATTCAATGTGGCCATATTGGAAAGAGGGTCAAAAGCTAAGGTCTGTGTTGGTTAGGTTATTGCCAACTTGGCAGAAGTTAGAGTCACCTGAGAAAAGGGAGCCTCAGTTGAGAAAACACCCTGTCAGACTGGACTGAAGGCAAGCCTGCCGGGCACTTTCTTGATTGATGATAGACGCAGAAGGGCCTAGTTAACTGTTGGTAGTGTCATGGTTGGGCAGGTTGGTCCTGAGGTATGTAAGAAACCAGCTAAGCAAGCCATGGGATCTAGCCAGTAAGTAGCACTCCTCCATGGCCTTGAAAGACTACTGTAAACTGTGAAGTCAAATAAACCCCCTACTGCTCAAGTTGCTTCTGCTAGTGACCTTTATCACGAATTAGGAAGCAAACTAAGACACTATCTGATCAATCCTGGTCAAAGTGTGACCCCACCCACCTTGCCTATCATGCCTAGTCTTCAGTCTTGTCCTGTAAAGCGGTAAGCTAGATTTGAGTGGGATCTCTTTTTGGGAGAAAAGTTCCTTTCTGGCTGGGGCCTTTTCCTTCCCAGCATGAAATTCCTGGGGGAATTCCTATTTCCTTAGTGTCCATTTGTTTCTGGTTGAGAGACAAAAATGTTTCTTTAGAAAATCCTTATTTCTGCCAGGCTTGTTATAGTTATATGACTCTGAGATGTTATAATCAGCCTTTTCTCATTCTTACTGTTGAGATCTGACCTGCCCTTTTATTCCCAGCCCTGCCCTCAGCCCTGTTCCAATTCTTTCATCACGTTTTGTTTTTCTTTTACACACACACACACACACACACACACACACACACACACACACACACTCTTTCACCAGGGAGCCTGACTGACTGTTCTCAGCCCTGGGACAATGCAACCTGTTAAGAGCAGGAAGCTGACCAGGAACCTGTGCGGGCGTGGCCCTCCAGTTCCCAGCTCAACTGCTCAGTGTAGAGAGGGAAATTCTCTTACCACTTTTCAGTTTGCTAAGTGGATGCTGGCAAAGATGTCTCAGAGCTGAGACATTAAAGAAGAAACTCTAGTCTGGTATGGTGGCCTGGACCTATAATCCTGGCTCTTGGGAGTGAGGCTTGAGGATTGCTCAGAATTCAGTGCCAATCTGGGTTAAATAGACTCTATCTTAATCCCCACCCATAAGGAGTAAGTACAGTGAGAACCCGTGACTGTCGGCCCTGGCACAGAAAGCTGCTATTAAACAATACCCCATCAGTTGCTTACTGTCACTCATGACACAAGTCTCCACCTACTGCCTTGGTCTTAGTCTAAAAGGAATTTTGGCTAGGGAGTGTGTGAGGACAGCTACAGAAATTGCCAGGGGTGATGGTGCCAGGTTTTATACAAAAAACAGGTCTCAAAGAAAGAAAAAGAAAATAGTTGTGTCACCTTTAGTTGTAAGATTTCCAATCTAGAGTCTGAGTAGAAAGGGTAATTGGTCAAAAAAGCAAATGCAGAGTAAAACAGAGGGAAAGAAAGAGACTGGTGAACTAAGAACCTCTTTGAGTCTGCGTGTCTGGATGGCCCAGAAGAACCTAGACACCGTTGTCAACACAAAAACCACAGCTCTCATCTTAAAGGGAATAAGAGAGAGTTCGGGAACAATTTTGAAAGAACATGGCTTGGGAACACAGCATTTAAGTGACCCCAAGTCCCAAGTCCCATATTCCAATATAGAAGCAGTATTGTGAAGTTTTACAGTTTTACAGAACAAATAAAGTCATTGAGACAAGTTTAAAATATATTAATGAGTACACCAGAGAGATCACAGCAAGATGGAGGAAGCTCTCCTCTAAGCCCACGATGCTGTTAGCTCTTCACGCTAACATTGGCAACTTTAGGGTTGGTGGAAGCAAGGGCCCTGCGAAATTAATAGAATTTGAAAGGGTTTATCTATTAATCTCAGGATGTTAGTTCTAACACAACTGGGCTAAAGATAAGGGGATTAGCATTCCGGGCTCTCCCAAAATGCTACAGTTCTAATCAGTCAGCCAGTCTCTGAGGACTCTTCCCAGTGGTTGTCGTTCACATCAGTAAGTGTGAACATTGCCTTTCCCCTGGCACATGCTATAGCATTCATCAGCTCTTCTCATGATGTCTGATGATAAGAATGCAAGATGGTAGAAAAAGTACATACAAGCCCGGTCTCGGGTCTCAATCCCAGCTACTCGGGAGGCTGATGCAAGAGTATTACAGGTTCAAGGCTTGCCTGGTTTACAGAGTTTAAGGCTTGACCAGATACCTTAGTTATATCCCGTCTCAAAAGGAAGAGTGGCTGTAAGTGCTGTTCAAGGGTAGGACCGCTTGCCTGCTATGCATAAGGACTTGGGTTCCAACCTCAGCGTCCTGGAAAAGCACTCACAGCTGATAACCACAGGCACAGTGACTAATACGTTTATAGTAAAGTCAGCCAAAGTGAAGGAGTAAGAACCAGATACACATCTGCCTGCCACATCTGTCTGCCAGCACTGTTGGACTGGGGTTTCCTGGATGAAATCTCATATCACCATGTGTAAAGCACGCCAGAGTACAGTATTGGCTTCTTGGTACTGAAGAGAGGTCTGGTGGCAGCGACCTGGATGTTCATGACTTCTTTCCAGGTCTCAAGTATTGCAAATGGATTAATTGGCCTTTAGAAAAGTTCAACTTAGTCTTCTGAAAGTTTAGTTTAGCCTTTAAAAGGTTTGCCTTAGTTCTCTGAAAGGAAAAAAAAAAACCACTTTTTTGGGCAGTTCACCAGCTCATTCATTCATTTAAAAGATGAAAGCAGGATCTAAGTAAGCACACAGCTTAGTTTTGAGCTTCATTCCAGCC